GGGAGAGAGACAAGGGGAGAAGCCAGGACCTCATCAGAGGAAATCCCACAATTCAAAGGGGGTTTTGCCCAGCCAGGCCATATCATAAGAACATAGGAGAAGCCATGTTAGATCAGGCCAGTGGTCCATCCAGTCCAACACTCTGTGTCACACAGTGGCCAAAAATACAAGGTGCCATCAGGAGGTCCACCAGCAAGGCCAGAGAAAACTGTACATTCCCTCCCTTTCCAGTTTGGGGTACTGGTTAAGAGCGCGGCCTCTAATCTGGAAAACCGGGTTTGAGTCTCCACGCCTCCACATGCAGCTGCTGATATGACCCTGGGTCATTCACAAGTTCTCTCAGAGCTGTTCTCTCAAGGGCAGTTCTCAAAAGAGCTCTGTCAGCCCCACCTACCTCACAGGGTGTCTGTTGTGGGGAGGGGAAGGGAAAGGAGATTGTAAGCCTCTTTGAGACTCCTTTGGGTAGTCAAGGGCGGGGTATAAATCCAATCTCCTCTTCTTCTTCCTTCCCCTCTCAATTTGGGATTGCATCCATATTCCTCCCTCTGCGCTCTACACCTGACACGTCACATGTGGTTCTGTTCTCTAGTATTCATTTATTGACTTATTTCATTAGTACCCCGCCTTTCTCCCCAACGGGGACACAAAGCGGCTTACACTGTTCCCCTCTCCTCCATCGAATTGTGTGGAGTGTGGCTGCTCAGCACAAGGATCCGTTTCTATCAGCCACAACGTATAGATGGAATACTCTGTCTGGGGGCAGGGATGCTCTGTGTACTTGGTGCTCGGTGGCCCACAGTGGGAGGGGCTTCTGGAGTTCTGGCCCTGCTGGTGGACCGCCGGCTGGCACCTGGGTTTTGGCCACTGTGTGACACAGAGGGTTGGACTGGATGGGACACTGGCCTCATACATCATGTCTTCTTGTATGTTCTTAGGGTCTTGGGATCCTGTAACTGAGGGAAGGGGGAAGGATTCCACTCTTCTGAGACCTCAGGTTGGAGGGGAGGGGGTTTCAGCTCACCCAGGTCCTCCCTCCTTCTCCCAACAAGTTGTTTCATTGGTCTGACTCCCAAAGCGGGAGCCCCAGGTTGCTGCTGTGTCCCCGCATTCCCTGTCCTGTTAGAAGTGTCTGGTTCCATCACATGGGATCGCCTCTCCCCTGGGCTGAGCTACAGGAGTGTCTGCTAAGGCTACCTACTGGGCTAGAAGACTATCTGGGTCTTCTCAGCTTGGGCCAAGCAGGCCACCTTGTGGGGGAGAGGGGGGGCGTCTACTTACTCTTCTTGGCTTTTCTTCTAGCTCTCTATTGTACACTCTGAGATGCATACAAAAGTCTTCTGCATCTAAGATCCAGTTCTAATCCAGTCCTCACACTCGCTTTTCTGACAGAGGTAGCATAATTACCGGCACTTCATACTCTTCATTATGGGTCATCAAATGTTCAAAAATGTTAAAATAGTTTTTACCCAGGGCTCTTTTTGTAGAAAAAGCCCAGCAGGAACTCATTCGCATAATAGGCCACACCCAACATCAGGAACTCATTAGCCTATTGGGCCACACCCCTGACAGCACAGCTCATTAGCACATTAGGTCGCACCCCCATGTTACCAGAAGTGTGGTTATCCAGCCACACCCACCTTTTGCTTGTTATTCTGTTGACCTTGTTTGTTGTCAAAACCCAGGGCTTTTTTTGTAGCAGGAACTCGTTTGCATGTTAGGCCACACACCCCTAATGTAGCCAATCCTAATGAGTTTCTGCTGTTGGGTGTGGCCTATTATGCTAATGAGTTCCTGCTGGGCGTGGCCAACTCAGGAGCCAGCCGGAACTTCGTTCCTGTGCGTTCCTGCCCAAAAATAGCCCTAGTTTTTACTGTTACATAGGCCTCGGCCACACGGGCAGGAAAATGCGGGGGGGAGGCGTGGCTGTTTGCCCCGGAGCAAACTAACGTGTGACCGTGCGATCAGGCGTCGGGTTGAGGTCCCGTCCAGCTCCTGTGGTTAGGGGGGAGGTGCCAATCAGACGATGCGGCAAAGAAGCGCAGCGGAGCGCCAAACGGGGTTGTGTTTTGTTTTTAAAACTGAAATGTGCGCATGCTCCGTTGGGTGCTTGTGCGCATCCGTGGAGACTTGGGGGCGGGAAACCTTTTTGCGAGGGGACATGGGCGGGCGCCGGAACTACCACCGGAAATGCGATCAGACGCCCGCCCTTGCCCCGCGGTTTCCGGAAACTAGTACCTCCGAGGGGGGAAGCCTCGGGTGCGCCACGGGAGCTCTACGCTTCCCAGATGTGGCGGTGAGATCGCGCCCGGAAAATCCGCCTATCTTTCGTCTCTCTAGCGTGCCTAATGCTCCGTGTGACTGGAGCCAATATAGACTTTTGAGGCTACTTGATCCTTATATCTTGTTGTTGCTTGTTTAATGCTTTTGATGTTAATTGTTGTTAATGATTATTTTAAAATGAATTTAAAAAAAAAAATTAAAAAGGGGGGGGGCATTGCAAAGGAGTAGGACCGGGGGTTCAGTGTCACCGGACTCTCCACCTCTCTGCTTTAGACTCAGGACAGACGGGCCAGCACATTCTCATCAACCCCAAACTGCCCCAGCCATTTGAGTGCTGTGGTGGACCTAACCCGATCCGGGGACCCCAGTAGCTCCGGCCCCATCCCTTGGTCCCTGTGCAGTAGGGGTGGGCCATCGGCAGGCCTGAATTCCCAGCCTGGCTCCTAAGAGAGTCGGGACCTTGCTCCCTCCCCCATCAGAGCAGCCGCCAGTCTGGGAGTGGTTGCCAGCGTTCCCCTTAGTATAGGTGGAGTTGGGCAGGTCATGACTTAATGGACCCTGCATGTTCAGGGCCAGAAGGACAACAAATGCCGGATGGTGGAGCACGTAAAAACCCCAGCCAGGAGGACTGCAGCTTTCTAGCTGGGCTTGTGGGCTTCCTGCTGGCCATCGCAGGAAACTGGAAGCGGGACTGGATAGGCCTGAGGGCTCACCCAACAGGGCTCTTCTGAACAGCTGAACTTTTGGGAGGGTTCGTGCAGAGCTCTTTCCACTCCAGGCCCCTTTCCCAGAATATGAAATGGTCTGGACAATCTAAGGCAGTGGTGGCGAACCTATGGCACGGGTGCCAGAGGTGGCACTCAGAGCCCTCTCCGTGGGCACGCGTGCCATCGCCCTAGCCAGGCCTAGACCCTCATTAAAGTGTCGAATTCTCTGCCAAATCATTTTAAGTAAACGAAAGCATTTGGGATTGCTTTCCTTACTTTGTTCGGATCATCTTAAGTTAATGTACGAGTTGTTTTTTCTAAAGTAAAACCTCAGTATTCAGGTTAAATTGCCGTGTTGGCACTTTCCGATAAATAAGTGGGGGTTTTGGGTCGCAGTTTGGGCACTCGGTCTCTAAAAGGTTCGCCATCACTGATCTAAGGGGCAGAGCTGTTCCAGAAGGAGGGCAAAGAGCCACAACTCAGCTCAGCCCCTAAAGGAACTTCCAGGCATCCTGGATCTGCTAGGGTTGCCAACCTCCAGGTGGTGGCTGGAGATCTTCTGGGACTACAAGTGATCTCCAGGTGACAGAGATCAGCTCAGCCGGAGAAAGTGAATGGCTGCTTTGGAAGGTGGCCTCCATAGTATCATACCTTCCCCACCCCAAACCCTGCCCTCCTCAGACTCTACCCTCAAAACCTCTGGGTATTTCCCAACCCAGAGCTGGCAACCCTATAGATCTTGCAGGGCTCTTTTTGTAGAAAAAGCCCAGCAGGAACTCATTAGCATAATAGGCCACACCCAACATCAGAAACACATTAGCGTATTAGGCCACACCCCTGACAGCACAGCTCATTAGCCCATTAGGCCACACCCCCATGTTAACAGAAGTGTGGTTATCCAGCCATACCCACCTTTTGCTTGTTATTCTTCTTATTCTGTTTACCTAGTTTGTTGTCAAAACCCAGGGCTTTTTTTGGAGCAGAAACTCCTTTGCATGTTAGGCCACACACCCCTAATGTAGCCAATCCTAATAGTTTCTGCTCTTGGGTGTGGCCTATTATGCTAATGCGTTCCTACTGGGCGTGGCCAACTTGGGAGCCAGCCGGAACTCCGTTCCTGTGCGTTCCTGCCCAAAAATAGCCCTGGATCTCAGACCCCGAAGACCTTCCCCTCCCTCCTTACCCAGCGGGCTGGCCTCTCCGTCCTCCTCTTCTTTGATGCTCATCAAGACCTGCATCTGCTCACCCTCGGACAAAGCCTGGCCTGCCTCGGAGACGTTCCCAGCTGCCTCCTCCAAGGGCACCTGCAACAACAGAGACAGATGGACCCATTCAGGGCAGAGCGACAGAACTGGCTGGGTGGGAAACGAACAGGAGGGTTCTCTCCCCCACCTTGCATTTGGCAGCAAGAAGTATCTCAAGAAGGACACCGCAGAGCTGGGAAAAGTACAGAGGAGGGCAACCAAGACGATTAGGGGGTTGGAGCACCTTCCCTGTGAGGAAAGGCTGAAGAGTCCGGGACTTTTTCCGTTTAGAACAGAGACGACTAAGGGGGGACATGAAGGAGGCTTATAAAATGATACCTGGGGTGGAGAGAGTTGGCAAAGAGAGCTTCTTCTCCCTCTCCCAAGAAACTACAACTCAGGGGCATCCAATGAAGCTGATGGGCAGTAGGTTCAGGACGGACAAAAGGAAATACGCAGAGAATGATCAAAATGTGGAATTTGCTGCCAGAGGATGTAGTGATGACCTCAGGAATGAACAGTTTTGAAAGGGGATTAGATAGATTCATGGAGGATAAGTCTATCAATGGCTACTAGCCATGGTGGCTAAGGGGAACCTCCACATTCAGAGGCACTAAGCCTCTGAATCCCACAGGCAGGAGGCAACACTGGGGAAGGCCTCAGCCTCTCTGCCCTGTTGTTGGCCCTCCGGAGGAACTGGTTGGCCACTGTGTGAGACAGGACGCGGGACTAGATGGACCACTGGTCTGCTCCAGCAGGGCTCTTCTTATGTTCTTATGAGTGAAGAGAACTTCCACATTCAAAAGCATTAAGCCTCTGAATCCCAGAGCCAGGAGGCAGCATCAG